TAAAATGTAAGAACATAGAACATAAAATCAGTCTCTATGCGGATGATGTATTGCTTTTTCTGCAAAACACACAAACCAACCTCTCTGAGGTAATTACTTTAATAAACTGGTTTTCAAGAGTTTCAGATTATTCAATTAACTGGCCAAAATCTACAGTTCTCCCCATTAACTGCTCCTTCCATAATTCTTCCTCTGCCCCACTGCAATCCGGAAATATTAAATATTTAGGTATTAATGTCTCTCCTAAGCTTTCAGACTTAACTAAATTAAACCACATCCCACTTCTAAAGAAAGTAGAAGGCGATCTGACTAGATGGAAATCTTTACCCATATCACTCATGGGAAGGGTCGCCACTATAAAAATGATGATCTTGCCAAAAATAAATTACTTATTTTTGATGATCCCTAACAAACCATCACAAGATTGGTTCAGATCTCTGGATTCATATATTTCCAAATTCCTTTGGAAAGATAAACCCCCACGTATCAGCTTAAAAACGCTACAAAGAACCAAGGATAGAGGAGGATTAGATCTGCCTAATTTTCACCAATACTTCTTAGCCAACAGGCTTCAGTTCATCTCAGAATGGTTAAAACATACCTTCTTAGTTGAGCCCTGGCTAGATGTTGAACAGGCACTATGCAAGGATCTAGAGATTTCAGACCTACCATTTATTAGCTCAAACATCAAAAGACATGAATGCTTTAAAAGTATCAACATCAGCTTTTCTCTGACAGCATGGTGGGAGTTTCTAAAAATAACGGAGTCTTCATTAATCCCATGCAAACGTACACCTATCTGGAATAACCCTGACATATTACAAAACAATAATATGATTAATTTCCCAGAATGGAGTTGTAAAGGAATTAAATACTTAGAACATATATTAGAGGGAACAGAATTTATTCCATTTGACAGACTAGTTGCACAATATGGGATCAACAAGACAAGATTTTTAGAATATCAACAAATTAAATCCATAGTAAAAAAGAAATTTAACCTCAGTCAAGTTGAATTACAAACACCACTAAGTGCGGCACATTTTCTTACTCTTAAATCCCCCAAATTATTATCTAAAATATACAGAACACTTTCTAAATTAGATGAATCAATATCCCTTCCTATTGCAAAGTGGGAAGCAGATTTATCAGTCAGCTTAGACCAAAACTTCTGGTCTCAGATTTGCTTAAAAACCTTTAAATTAATTAAAAATCCCAGTCTGCAATTAATACAATACAAAATACTACATAGAGTGCACTATACAGGTCATCGGATGTTCAAGATGGGCTTTACATCTTCCAACAACTGCTCACACTGTCAAGGCAATACACCAGACAATTACATCCACGCTCTTTGGTTCTGTCCACCAGTGCAAAAGTTTTGGCGCGAGATATGTGAAGACTTATCAAAGTGTCTGAAATGTAACATTCCAACCTCCCCCTTAGTGTGTTTACTGGGCAGCTTAGATAATGTCACTTCAGAAAAGAATATAGCCCATATGATTTTCACTGCCCTATGCATAGCCAAGAAAACAGTCCTCATGAACTGGAAAAATAAAAATAATCTTAATTCTAACCAATATAGAAATTATCTATTAGATTACATTAGTCTAGATACAGCCTCTGCCACCACATCAGATCAATTGCTCTGGACTCCTTTTATCAGCTCCATCACCTAGTGGGGGTGGGGGGTCATAATTTGGTCCCGCCTTCACTGTTGTGATTGGTGTGGGGGTAGGGACAGGCTTAGGGCGTCGGGGGGTTCCCCGGAGGCATCTTCCTTGGGGGGCTCAACCCGGGGTAGCGGTCATGTCCGGTTGGGGGCTCTGTTGGCTCTCAGGTGACTGTTTCCTCGCGGCTGCGTGCAGCGGGGCTAGGGGAGGGTCTGTGCTGACGGACGTGGGTTACTGACCTGGTAGCCTGGCTGGCCCTGGGTGGGTCCGGGATGGGCGTGAGGTTCTGGGGGCGCTCCGTCTCTGGGCTGGGGCCCGGGCCGGGCCTCGGGGGCTTGGATCCTGGTTGGTGTGTTGCCGGGGTTGTGGGCGGGTGGGTGCATGGGGGCCCGGCCCTGGAGCGGAGTGCCGCCGGTGCGTCGAACCACCTGGGGGGCTCTTCAACTGGTGGGGGAGATGGTCACATCTTGCAGGAGCTTTCCTCTCTTCAGGAACTCTCTCTGCAGGAGGGGGAGATACAGGAGAGGTGGAGGAAGATCTCAGCCTGGGCGTTTACTGTCTTATGTAGTCTGGAAGATGAGTGGATGGTGGGGTGGGTGCAGTTTTCTCTGTGGTGGGGTTGGGTGGACTGTCCCGGGCTCTGTGGGGCCGGGAGGCGCTGCTGCACTGGGCCCCGGTCTGGATGGGCCTGGGCCCCCTTTCCCTGGCGGGTCGCGGAGTGTGGGAGTGCCTACTGGGGTCAGCGGGGGAGCTAGCCCCAGGGAGGGGTTACCTGCCCCTCCCTTCCTTCCCTCCCCATCTCCAGCTGCCTCTCTCTTCCCGCTCCACCACAACCACCCACACATGCAGGGCCTTGGAGTAGGGGTATGTCACCAGGGTGCAGAGGAGGCTACCCCCCCCCCCCCCCCCCCCCCCCCCTCTGTCCCCTTCTGGCTGCCTCTGCCTCAATTTTATCCCACAACTTAGACATTCACATTATTCACACTCTCATTACACATACATATAGGATCTTGGGGGTGGGCACAATCACGGAGTCCAAATTACCATCAGGGTGTACACCTCACCCGTGGCGTCGTTGCCCACCTCTCAATTTTAAATACACTTAGACATTGAGGGCTATCAGGAGGGACTATGCGCTTACCTGCTGCTCCTTGGCAGGTAGCTCCATGCCCTCCTGGGTTTTAATTGCACCTTAGAACACACATGCATCAACACTACAATGAGCGGGTGGAGGGAGGTTTGGAGTCTTCTCCCACCCCCATTCTCTGCAGCCTGCTGGAGCGGGAGGGCTAGGTGGAGTTGGCCGTCCGACTGCGGTCTGGAGTGTGGGTCCTCCCTGCTGCTACGGAGTCGGGGTGGTCTGCCTCTCCCCACCGCAGGGAAAAGGGTAACACCACCTGGGTCTGGGTGCAGTTCCCCCCTCCAGGAGCAAGGGTACCTAGACCCGGTTTGTAGAGTACGCTTGGGGAGTGTGATCGTGTGTACAGCGTCTCTTTATGTCTGTCTCCACGTTGGTTGAGTGTGGAGTGAGTGCATATCAGAGCATGAGGGTGGGAATGGATGTTTGTGTCTGTGTGTGCCTGTATTTCTGTGTCTATATGTCAGGTTGGGTATCAGACGCCACCTCTCTGGGGACACCTCAGGCCCTCCAAGGTTTGGAGGCCTATCTCCACCTACCACCACTTCCCCTGCCGGTGGCGGACTCCCTCAGGTGTCGGTGCGTTGGTGGTTCTTTGTGTCTGGGGGTGGGCGTCCAGGTACACACCGGCTCACTCCTTGGCGGCCGCTTATCGGGGCCTGGAGCCTGGGGCTCGCTCGGGCCACTTCGGGGGTGGGGTGCCCCCGGCCTCTCGGCCTGGGGCTCGGTCACTCAGGCACAGCTGGCGGCCGGCGGAGCTCACGGGCGCGTCACTGCAACTCCCCCTGGCTTCTGCTCCGCGGCTGCTGAGTGAACCCTCATCTGGGACTCTCCTCAGCTCTTACTGGAACAGTGGCGCGGCTGCCCCTCTGTTGGTCTTCCATGGTTTCTTGTGTTCTGGGGGCCTCTGGATGTCTGGAGTTTTGATCTCCTCCATACCTGCTTCACACCCTGGAGGACGGGGCTGTGGCCCCCCCACACTCCCTAGCAGATCGTTACATGGAGAAACCTTTGGAATACAAGCGCGCTGATCCACACAGGTATGCACACGGGTGTTCACTGCTCGTAGACCCAAATTACACCTTTCTTGGCTGCTACTTCGAAGCACATCTGTCCTGCGTGCTGCACAACAACATTGAATATTTAGTATTTACTGCTGTTTACACTTAGCTAGATTAATGCGATGGTGTTGTGTTTAGTATGTTGCTTTGTTTTTGTTTTTTTTTGTCTTTTTTTGCTTGTTTTCTATTCTTCTCTCAACAGGTGATCCAGGAGATTTTTTTTTTTTTCTCCCCCCCTTTCTCATTGTCCCTCTCCCCTTCTGTTTTTCCTTCCCTTCCTCTTTCTTTCTCCCTTTCCTATCTCTCACTCATGACTGTCCCGTCTGTAACATCTGAAAATAAAATATAATAAATAATAAAAACAAAGATCGACCAAATGGACCAATACGGCAATGCCACGATGATCCATTTGGCAAAGTAAATCCATTGGGTATCCTTGTTGGTCTTCAGACAACAATTCTGATGGCTAGAGAACCAAATGGGACAGGCGAAAAAAATAAAATAAAATAAAATAAAATAAAATAAAAAATAAAAGAACGTACATACCTGGACCCGCCTACTATCCTTGGAAATGTAAAATGATTGGCTAGAATCTAAAGTGTATCACAGCTAAGGAAAAAAAAGCACCGAAATAAAGCACCGAAATGTGCGCTGCTTTTCGGTCTGGGTACTACCGTTTATGTCAGAACCGGTGCCATCATGGCACCGGATACCGGTACCCATCCCTACTCTCTAGTATAAACCTTCCTTTTGCATGTTTTAACTAGTTCCCTATTCCCAGTATGCAAACAGCATCTTCGTGCAGCATCAAAAAACTGATTAAAAAACAATCGGTGAAAGAAATATGTCTAGATATTGAGAACAATTTGAAGCCTATGAACAATTTTATTGTCCATTAAGATTAAATGCTGTTATTGATCTATGTGTGTTCATATAAAGTGAACTGTGAGACAAAATCTCTGGCTATTCTGAAGATACATAATTAACTTTTACCTGACAAGTCTTTAAAGATAACCAGCAACACATTGATGAAGTAAAAATGAACAGGTTCTTTGTCCACTCAGTAATTAATTTATGTTGTTATGTTATTGATCAAGTAGACATTTTAACTATAGATAATAATATCAAAAATTCTAAAATGTGCAACAGTTAGACTATCCAGATGAAACCTTTGTTAAATCTATATGGGTGATATGAAAATCAAATAATTTCTTCTATGTCACTTTGCATGTCATTACTATTACTGGCTTCACTGGATAGGCATGCAATATCTTCAAATACAGGGGCATAGCTGCTAAAAGGTAGGTGCATATTTAAAATATTTTCCCACTGCTCAAATATACCTAAGGGAATACTCTCTGGGTTGAAAGGTAGGTTCTGTTGTTGCCTTAATGAATGGTCATGTATGTAATTCCCACCAGTGACAACAGAAAACTGTCTGAACTCAGACTCTGAGCACATAAGCACGCCTTGTGTTTCACTATCACATGAGTCATCCACCATTGTGATTTGGTCTGTGACTGCACATTTCAGAGCTGACTGATGCAATGTTTTTTTCACAGGTGTGTTTAGCTTGCTAATTTCTTCAAAAGTGAGACATTGCATTGGCTCCAGGAATTCTGGCTGTATGAATCTCTTTGTGTAACAAGAATCTGTCTGCTGGGACTGTTTTGAATGAAACTTATTCAGCAACTGTTCATTTATCAAAGTAACATTTTGAGGCTTTGGGGAGCTTTTGTCATCACTAGAGCTTTCTTTCTTATATCCTGCAAACAGCATCCTCAAATCTCCCCACTGTTTCGGATCAGCTTTCACACATTTTGAGCTGTATAGATGCTTCTGCCAGCTGAGTTTCAGTGAGGTATCATCTGAATGAAATGCACTACAGATGCTGCCGATTTCATAATACTCAACCTCACTCTTTGGTAATGGCTGAACATTTGACAGACTGTTATCACAGTATATCTCTGCACTTGACTTTGACTGATTGGTACTCATGAGGTCAGGTCTGTTCCCTTTTTCTGGTGACAGAGCTTCTGTGGGCATTGTGCATTTTCGTTTGTCATCAAACGAAAATGCTTTGTTGTCTGCCCCATGCTCTGTTTTCACTGGTAAGCTCGCACTCTGACATCTTGAATGAGAATGTCTTACTTTGTAAAGGCCAACACACATTACTGCAATCACCAGAATGGCAATGAGAGGAAGAACCAAAGCAATGAGCCACAGTGGCAGGTTGCCTTGCATTTCAGAGCAGTGATCATGGCTATCCTTTGTGGAGATGCATATATCACAGAAATGGTCAGTAACATTGTGTAAACAGATGCAGGAGTTGTTCTGCACACCAGGTTCACATGTCCAGTGATTTTGACAGTGTGAGAGACAAGTCCTGCTGGGACCATCCTTCTCAGAGCATCCTGAAGCGAGGCAAAAATGCGGAAAGCTGCAGTTGGTCTGGGTGAGAGTAGAGCTTGGCCTGACATCCACCATTATGCTGTGTCCGCTGACAGGCAGAGAGTAACCTGTCACATTGAAATACTGCACACATCCACTGAACCCTGTCATAAAAAACAAAGAAGGTTCAGAGGTCCACTTACTTCCACGTTACTCCTTCAGTTTAACTTTACTGGTACATGTTGCTTTTAGAGTGATCAGTTTAAACAGGTAAGAAGATCCAGTCTGATTAAACAGTTATCCAAAACTCTCATCAAGTGCAATGACAAGACTGTATGCAGTGTATATTTTCTGGCCTTCATTTCACATGTTGTACAAAAGTTGGCATTTTAAAAACTGACTTTAAGAATAAACTTTACCTGATTGATTGACTGTTTCTCTTGTGGGAGCAGCACCAAGAGTGATCTTTTCTACGCTAAGTGGAGTGAGATCCATACTTTGGCCAGTGATGTTCAAAACTGGTTTACCATCCACAGAGAGGAAAGTGTTCTGTCCCCTGCTGAACAAGGAGAGGAGATGCCAAACTCCATCAGCCACAGGACGGTCCACAGAGAAGTCTGACAGGTGTCCCAAAAGTGCATCTTCAAAAATGTAGACAGGCTTCTTGTCTTTTATCTGAATAAAGGGGAAAAACAGTTTCATACTTGAATATAGAATACAAGACGTGTATATAGTTAAATGAATTTCACCTACCTTCAGCATAATATATGCTCTCTGTCCACGGATAAACATCAGCACACCATCATGTTTGGTCTTGAACTTGATGTTAATCGTTTGTTGGTCTCTGTTTAATCCCAAATTTTCATCCAAAATCTCTTTCATTAGGTAGTCTCTCTTAAATTTCTCCTTAATAACATAATCAATGTAGTCACTGCCATTAAATTTCAAAACAAGTTCCTCTGACATTTCTGTTTGAAAAAAAGAGTTTAAAAAAACTCAATTTAATCTTCTGCACCTGATTTTAAAACAGAAGCTCAATATCATATGCACTATTATTTATACCTTTGTCACAGTTTTTTCCTGTAAAAGGGCTTTTGCACTCGCAAAAATAGTTGGACCAAAGGTCATGACACACACCACCATTCTTGCATGGGACACTATAGCATAATGACACTGCTGCTCGAGGACACCTAAAGATAAACAGTAAGACATTTTATATATATATATATATATATATATATATATATATATATATATATATATATATATATATATATATATATATATTAGGGGCGCAACGATACACAAAATTCACGGTTCGGTTCGATACTTTGGTGTCACGGTTCGATATTTTTTCGATACAAAAAAATGTTCATGCCTTTTTAATTTGTCATTTATTAAAATTATAAATATATATTTTAACTCAAAAGTACAGTTTTTAAATTTAACCCTAACCCTTGTGCGTGTTTTTTATTTTGACAGCGAATGCGCACCTGCGGACCACTTATGTGCAGCCCTGGTTATTTAGCTCGTCATATCGCAGCCACAGAAATTCTTTTGTCCATGAAACCATAAAGCTGCACTTTCTTTTTGCCTTATAGTCTGATTTGTCATAACTTCTCCGTTTTGTGGTAAGCTTTTCTTTGGCTGTCACTTCTTCACCCTGACCTGTCTTATTTGGCTCAGCAGAACTGAAATGCTTTTACACACTCACTCACATAAGCTCAGCGATTCTCTGCGCGATCAACCTCTCACATGTTTAAGCTTGCTGCGGGAGATTTCACTTGTCATGTTTGCATAGTAAGCTAACGATTAATAAGACGATGTCAGAGGAATTGGTGCACAAATTATCATCACTCACAGATCAGTGCTGTCGCTCTCTATACACAGTTCGCACAATTGCAAAGTGAAAGCAAAAAAACAAGCGCAAATTCAAACGCGACTTCAATATGTCACATATTGACAGTGGCTCACCGATGCCAATGACATAATTACCCAGCTACATTTCTGAAAGAATGCAAAAGCATTGACATATATTTTTCCTACAATAGCCCGACGGGCAGGGCAGAGATAGATTTTGGTAGCCGGACTGAAAAAATCGCTAGCTCCGGGACGTCGGGCTAGCGATATTGCGAGCCCTGTATCTGATTGAGGAATCACTCATCTTTGGAAAAGAGAGTTTATTACAGAGAAATGGCTCTTTCCAAAATAAAAGCTATACTATCCGCTTCTTCCGGGCTATATTCTCAGCAGCATAAGGAGAATCATGTGCTAACAGCTGTCTAAATGACTCAGCTAAAGTTAGTAGCATGCTTGCTTTTTTTTGTCTGCTTCCACTTGTCTTTGCACTAGGATGATGTCGGCGTAAATGTGCAGTCATATTCGTTGTGTTCCCACTAGTGCTTTCAGGTTAATCTCGTTGAAATGACCTTAACGCCACAACACGGCAAATCTCCGTTAACGAGCTACCGCCGATCGCTCCGTGCATGGGGCTAGACGGCCAACACGTTAACGAGCTAACTGCGCTAACACACTAGTTCCCACCAATGTAATTGAGCATTGCATGGCACATCCAACATACTGTTTTACTTTAGTCCATGACTCGCTTACCTTCAGGGTCATACGTCACATGAAAACCAAAATAATTCCAAACGCCAGAACTGAATGAGGGTGGGGGAGGTGACCTGCGCTCTTCCTTCTGACTATGCTGTCTGTGTTGAGCGCTCAGTGGATCTGCGCTGGACAGTGCAGCCTAGGCGGAGTAGTCGAACACAGATTCACTGAGCGCTCAACACAGACAGCATCGTCAGAAGGAAAGTGATAAAATAAATTACAAATGTTGTATTGTTCGATACATATGCGTACCGAACCGAAAGCACTGTATCGAACGGTTCAATATCGATACGAATATCGTTGCACCCCTAATATATATATATATATATATATATATATATATATATATATATATATATATATATATGAGCTCAAATATGTATCAAATATGTATCCGGCAATGTTTAAAGTATAAAGACATCTACATGCACTAATTTTAATAAGCCTGCCTGTCAAAGATGTTATATGCCGCTAGAGCCATTGAGGGTCTCAGGAGGATGCCATTAACATGAAAGTTTCGGATACATCCAACAAAGTCATGGGCTCTTATCTGAGAAGGATGCACTAAAATAGCTTCAGTAGTTCTTAATCCTCCAAAGGTCATATTACTGTTGCCAACATCAAGTGTCCTATTTGGCGATAAAGACAAAGAAAGAAAAAAATCGAAAAATGAAAAATATTGCTTACATGAAGATGAAAATTAGAAATGAGGAATATTCCAATTAAATATTTCACTGCTACCTTTCTGAAATACTTCCATCATTCGTTGAAAAACAGAATCTATTGTTTTCGTCATCCGTGCAGTTGTCCACATGCAGTGAACCCATCTGTGAAATGCAATAAATAATAAAAAGATATATGAATGTAACTCAAATTCAATAAAACATGCTAATGTATTAAAGTACTCAAATTACTTTTTCAATGAAGAAACAAAACATTACTTCTGCAGTTCAAGTAAACAGTCATTTTCTTATTTAAATGAGTAATCCATTGATAGTAGACATACTATTAGCCACTTTGTTGGGTACAACAGTCAAACTCATTGTTAATCAACTAATCATGGCAGCACCTCAAGGGATTAAGGCAACAGAATGGGAATGTAAGATGATTTAAATTACTTTAAACATAGCATTGTTGTTGGTGCCAGTTGGGCTGATCTAAGTGTTTCAGAAACTGCTGATCTAAAAGATCAGTATACTCAGAAGTAAATGTATTGCTAGTTGCTCATGTAATGCAAAGTACTCTAATGAGTAAACATTTCTCTGCAGGCAACCCTGTGACCTGGCAGTTGGTTTTTTTCATTGTTGTTTTCTTATACTGATATATTTAAAACTCACACTGCCAATCCTCCTGGCAATAACACTGTGAAAATATCCATCTGCAACTTGCTTGTATGTTTGCAACCTCACAGGTCCTGAACCCAGATCATAAGAGAGATGTACTGCTCCATCCAGTATCTCCAGTGCAAAGAACTCTCTGCTGTTTGAACCTCCTGGATTGTAGAGGAGGAGGGAGTCCCTCTGCATTGTGGCAAACTCCAAAGAGATTAAATTAGTCCTACGATCCAGTGGTGGAAACTCCATGAAGGACAGCTCCTCAAAGCCATAACTGTGATCCTCACACCGGACTCCACTGACTCCTAACATAAAGATGAGTTCCATATTATTTTTTCCCATTTAATTCTTAGAAAACCTCTTAGCATATTTCATATATGCGCATAAACAGATAGCATATATAGCCACTGATATCACCCATTGAGGTCTTAGGCTGAGCATTTTGCTGTTGCTATTTTGGTGTTTTGAAACTGTATAACAAGCAAACAGTGGATCTTGCTGATAATGCAAGGAATACTTCATATAGACAAGCTTTATCTTTCTTCTGGACACTAATATGCATCATAGTTTACACAATTAATCTCATCTTATATTCAGTATGACATGAAACTAGTGGCTCAGCCGGAATCTCATGAGGAAAGCTTTCATAGACCAAGCGAGTTGAGAACATCTTTTGCACCCAGAGGAGTCACAAACTGGTACACATGACAATGAATGCAGATTTAAGTCAATTCTGTACTGGTTTCACTTTTTAGACCGAAGCTATGTATGTCTGCTGTGGATGAAAATGAACACACACACACACACAAAAACTGCCGTTCTTTAAATGGCTACTTGACACTGGCTCCAAAAATCAGTCTGTTCCCATTGACTTGTATGTTTTAAAATAATCAACTTAAGGATAAAATGAACATGATTATAGCCAGGTACAGAACATGAGTTTGGTCTCAATAGTTAATTTCTCTTTTTTTTTAACCACTGTACACCACCTTTGGTGATACAACCACTCTTGAATTTTGTTAAATTTCAAGTTAGGGGTAGTCACTTTGATTGACAGATGTGTTGACAAAGTTACGAGCCATAAAGTAGAGGCCTGTACATCAGTCAGTGGATAAATGACACTTTGGTACCCATGCTTCGACCTCAGTAAATATTTTTGTGTTGATTTTATACTTATTTTGTAAATTGTGGCCCCAGTTAGAGTCAAGAAGGAAAATAAAGCAGGGCATGCTTTAGGCCTGATTTAGATCTTTGTAGAGCCTACAGTGTAACCTACATGTGTCCAAGGGGACTGACGAGTTTGCACTTATGTTGGAGGTTACATTGTGAAGTTTCCAGTTGAAGCATAAATTAGGTGTTAGAGTGGGTTTACCTTGTGACTGATGAGTTATTACTCTTCCTGGATTAAAAATGATGCTAAAAAATGCTCAGCTTAAAGCTTCACAATGAGACATAACTAAAGAGTGGGTGTCATCAGCTTTGCTATGTCCATCATTTGTATACAGTTTGTTACAAGCAACCCTTTTTTTCTAAATATATGCAAGAAAGTGTGTCTTTCCTATGATTTTACACTTTTGTAGACAAATGTACATCTAGCATTATGTATCATTCTTACCAAAGTGACAATTACAAGAGAATCCTGTTTGTGAATTAATGCAGATACCATGAACACAGGGTGATGATTTGCAGTAGTCTATGAACTCATCACAGGTTTCTCCTGAAACAATTAAATTAAAAAAAGAAGTTTTATTTTAAAAAACAAATTAACAGTTGGTTCTCACATATTAATTTTTTTCCTATCTATCTATACATGAGAAAATGTACCTCCAAATCCAGGCACACAGTGGCACTGATATCCATCCTCGGAGGGGATACAAGTCCCACCATTTTGGCACTTCACCTTCAGGCATCCATTGACATCAGCAGCGCAGTGGGAACCAGAGAAGCCAACCTGACAGTGACAGAAGAAACTTCCCACTGTATTCACACATGTGCCTTTATTCTCACAGGGATTTAGCTCACATTCATCAATTTCTTCTTCACACAGTGAACCAGTAAATCCGGATGGACAAGTACAGTTAAAAATCTCTTTCTTTGGTGCAACAAAGATGACCGCTACACTTTCAAGGACAGCAACCTCCTGGCTGATGTAAATATTTTTGTGGCATGATGCTCCATTTTGACAAGGGCTGCTCAGACATGGATCACTGGTGATGTGAGAAATTGTCACATTGCTCTGAGCCTCCAGTAATTTCTTGTGTCCAGATGATATACCACTCGCCACCTCTCTGCTAAGGTACTGACCGTTGTAATTTTTGACTGCAGCCAACAGAAGGATTTCCCACCCAATATGTTTGATTCCAAATACATGAGTCTTAGAGGCTTGTAGGTTAAACAGACTGTCCAGAGCTTTTACGAACCTCAAATAGTTATTAGACAAAAACTGCTCTACTGAAGATGATGACAAAGAGAATAATATACAATTGTCTATAGAAGCATTTGTAAAACCTTTGTAGTTAACGTAGACGCTGTTGTTTACGGGAAAGTGCAGCTGGTCTGTAGCTTCAATGGAGATGTTAAACGTAGCTTCGCCTTGAAAGGGAAAAGACCACAGCTCACATGTGCCATTAAGGATTGTGAACATGTGAGTTGGCCCACTTTTGATGGTGCAGTTGAATCTGTCAGACTCATCCTGATCCTCAGGATGGACATTACCAATCATGCCACCTTGGAAAGAACTACCAAAATATTTCACCTCAATAAAGATATTTCTTGCCATTGAAGGGTTGTCGTTTTCATCCACAACCCGGATGTGGAAGGTTGATGTTGATGATAGTGGCAAGGGAAATCCTGAATCCCTGACAGCCACAAGCACTTGATATGCAGAGATTTGTTCCCGATCAATTGGGCGGGTGGTGAGCAGAACTCCATCAGGAGTGAGAGAAAAAGCACTGGCCACCGAGGAGTCTAATAACCAGTACATAAAAGGGCCTTGGTTGGGTGGTAAATCAGAGTCAAATGCAGTTAATTTAGTGACTATGGTGCCTTCAGGTTGATTTTCTCTCACATGAGCTTCAGTTGATGTGAGTTTGGGGGCATTGTCATTAATATCACCAATAGTCACAATGACATTAGTAGTCCCAGTGGCTGGTGGAGAGCCATTATCTGTGGCTATAACAGTAAGATTATAGACTGGCCAGACTTCTCTGTCCAGTGGAGAATTCACAGAAATGATACCATTAGATGGATCAATAGAGAAGGAGAAATTGGTGTTTCCATGCTCAATGGTGAAGAAGAAATGATTCCAGTTAACAATGGAGTCCTCGTCCACAGCACTCACAGTTGCAACAGATGTCCCAATTGGGGTGTCTTCTGTAACATTCGCCATATAGCGGGGAGATGTGAACATGGGAGCTTCATTTGTGTCAATCACACTGATGTGGACAAAAGTCTCATCTATATCTGTGCCAGTAATAACACCAGAGTTCTTGGCCAGAACTTTCAAAACTACATGGCTGTTGCCTTGTTTCCTCAAACTATTGGTCGTATATACGTCTCCAGAACGTTCGTGAATTTCAAAGCTCTTTTTTTTTTTCCTGGCAAACAAAAAGTAAAACACTTGACCTTCAGTGCCTCGGTCACCATCTGTAGCCATCACTTTTCCAACAACAGTTCCAATAGGCACGTTTTTAAGTACTGAGAAGTTAAATTCTTTTTTGATGAATCTAGGCGTGAACTCATTAACATCTGAGATTTGGATGACAACATGTGCTAAACTAAATAAAGCATGTCCTCCAGTATTGGAACCTTTGATTGTTAAATCAAACATCTGCTCTTGCTCATAATCAAACATGGCCAAAGTGGTGATGGTGCCATTTCCTGAATCAACTGCAAATTTATCTATATGGCCACCAATGAGAGAGTAGAATATTTGTGCATTTGCACCTGAGTCAATATCTGTGGCTGTTACATCGAGAACATTCGTTCCAACAGCTGAGTTTTCACGAACTGATGTTATGTACTCTGAGGATGAAAAGACTGGGGGATTGTCGTTCACATCCATGACTAACACCGTGACATTTAATGTGCCAGTTTTAGAGAACCAGCCCTCATCTTTAGCTTTAATTTGGAAATGATAAATACTTTGTTCTTCAAAGTCAAGCTCTCTGATCAGTGTTATCAGTCCTGAAAATTCTCCCACAGATAGTGGTAAAAATTGATTTTCTGGGGTAATGTTGTATGTGATCTCCCCATTGGGACCATAATCCCCATCTTCTGCTTGAATATTTCCTATTACTGATCCTACAGGCAGGTCCTCAGGGACAGAGAAAGTAACATAAGATTCGCTAAAGCTCGGAGTAAATTGATTCCTCCCAGTAATTTGGAAAGTGATTTCAGCTTGGGATGTTAAAGGGGGGGTGCCCTCATCTTCAGCCACAGCTATTAAAGTGAGGATCTGATTTTCATTCTCTCCTAAAGTCTGATTTAAAATTAGTTTTCCAGTGTCACCTTGAATCCAAAAGAAATCAGATGCATTTCCTCCATTCAAAAAATACTTAATGCTACTATTGCCATTGACATCCAGATCTACTGCTGTAAACTGGACCACCTCACTTCCCACAGCCAGGTGATAAGGAATAGCCATCAAGGGTTGTAAAGGGAAAAACATAGGAGGGTGGTTGTTGTAGTGTTCCAATCTTACTCTGATAGTGACATTACTATGTAGGGGGATACTGCCACGGTCAAAAGCAGTAACCATAAATTGATAGATTTCAAAATTACAGTCACGTAACATCATGGGCTGCTTTGTATAGATTTCACCAGTGGTAGTGTTCAGCCAAAACTCCTCATGTGGAGGGTCGATAACATAGAAAATCTCACTGTTTTTCCCAATGTCTGCATCTGTAGCAAGAATCTGCAAAACAAATGCCTCTTCATCTTTTGTTTCAGGGAGGATAATGTTATAGAAATGTTCAGAAAATACTGGTCTGTTATCATTGACGTCTAAAATGACTATAGTCACATCTGTGCTTATACTCCATGCTGAATCATTTGCACTTACTTTAAAGATATAATGATCCTGCATTTCCCTGTCCAAAACTCCTTCAACGGTGATGTAGCCAGTGGTGAAATCAATATTAAAAAGCATGTCATCACTTTGCTCAACTATCAAGTAATTAATCACTGCATTGGCATCAGTGTCATCATCTGTAGAGGTGACTTTTATAATTGTCTGTCCAACAGGGGTATCTTCAGACACCTCTGTGAGAAAAATCTGAGAAAATAGAGGGGCATTATCATTTCTGTCTAAAACAGTGATGATAACAGTTGCTTTGTCTTTGTGAAGCATGTTTTCTAGTTCTTCTGCTTCAACTGTTAAATTAAATTCAGGAATATGTTCTCTGTCTAAACTTACAGTGGTACTCAAGTAACCATTTTCAGGGTCAATTGTGAAGAAGTTACCGTGGTTTCCGTCTGTTATGTTGTATTGCACTGTGCCATAATAGCCAGAATCTGCATCAATTGCAAGTACATCACAAACCACGGTAGGCGGGGAGTTCTCAAAAACCTCACACCTGTACTCAGCTTGAGTAAACTGTGGGAAATTATCATTTGCATCAGTGATGTATATGTGAATTTCAGAAAAAGAGGAGAAAGGAGGCAGGCCTGAGTCTCTGGCTTCTATCAACAAAGGAAACTCTTTTTTGCTCTCAAAATCCAATGGTCTCTCTACTATCAGGGCTCCACTTGAATGATCGATGTGAAACATGTTTTCAAAGTTTCCAGAAGCGAGATAAAAAGTGACAGGTTCAGCTCTAATACTCAGGGCAGATACCACAGCCACCAGTGTTTCCACTCGCTCATCCTCTGTGAGGGAATAACTCAGAACATCCACGTTCATCTTTGGGAAATCAGCGGTGTTCTGAAACCTGACACTAATAGTTGTGGTGTCAAATTTGGGATCTTCCCCAGAATCTTCCACACGCACAGTGACAATAACATCATCCACTGACTGTAGAGCTGCTGAAGTGAAAACAGTGCCACTGTAAGGATCGATTGAAAACATATCAGAGCTTTCTCCCTGTAACGAATAATGTAGTTCTGCATTGATCTCAGTGTCGTCATCTAATGCTCTCACTGCACAAACAACAGAGCCTGCAGGAAAAAAAAAAAAAAAAGGGGGGGGGGGGGGGGGGATAATACAATATTAATACGATTGCCAATATTACCCAGAATAAAACATATAGCTGTCAAATAGAAAGGTAATCTCTCACCTGGAGCTAACTCGATTGGCACATAGGCCACATAAGGCCCATTCATAAACTGGGGCCAGTGGTCATTAATATCTCCAATAAGTACAGTAACAAGCACAGAGCTGGACAGAGGCTGAATGGGATGCTTATCACTCGCAGTCACTTCCAAATTGTAAATGGCCACTGTCTCCCTGTCCAGTATGTTTGTTGTAAATAGCTCTCCAGATGTTTCATCAATGGCGAAAGGCACATTGAGGTTTTCCATAGAATAGCTAAACAAAACAAATAAAAATAAAGCAGTGCACTATGCAAAACCCTGAAAGTTACTCTAATATAACACAGTCATTAAATTCAGAAGATTATCAAAATACTATAAAAGCATTTTGTTTTAAGAAACAAATTATCACATTTACCTTACTTCCCCACTGACACCCTCGTCGACATCAGAAGCGATTATCACAGCAAACACAGTGCCTATAAGACTGTCCTCAGGCACTATGGTGTTGTAGACTTCCTCGGTAAACTCTGGGTGATTATCATTGACATCATCAACTATGATGTGCACAGTCAAAGTGCCTGTTAGGGATGGCAGTCCTTCAAATGACAGTGGAAGTCATCATCAAACAGTGTGAAGTGAGTATTAGAAAAACATAGACCATTATTTCCATACTGAATTAAGTATCGTGCAATTTTATTTGGATATAAGTTACCTGAATCAACAGCAGTGATGGTGACTATATATAGCGACTCCTTCTCTCTGTCTAAGGTGTGCAAAATATGAAATGTGCCACTGGGAGTGATAGAAAATAAATTATATCCATTTCCTTTCTCTATAAAATAGGTAAGCTGACTGTTGTTTCCTAAATCTTCATCCAAAGCTGAGACCTGGCAAAATTTTAAAAACAAAAAGAAAAAAACAATAACAGAAAATAAATAAATAAATAAAAAGACAAACATTAAAATGCTGTTGTTTTTCAGCAGAATTTTACTGCACCTGATATGTTAGCTGAGTTGGATCCTCCTCATTCTCCTTCACATGAATGGTCAATGTTTCTGGAACAAACTGGGGTGCAAAGTCATTGACATCCATCACTGTGATATGGATTGCAGCACTAGCAGATCTGGGTATGTTCCCCCGATCTACAGCAGTTATCATCAATGTGTAGTTTGAGTCCCTCTCTCTATCTAGTTCATCCATGACTGTGAGAACTCCTCGAATTATGTCCACCACAAATGGACCAATGTGGGCCAACATGTACCGTACTTGTCCATTGGATCCAATGTCTTGATCGTGAGCCTGAACCTGCAGCAGGCTTGTTCCCCTGGGGATATCCTCTCTGACTGTCAGGTTATAACTGCTTTGTAAAAACTCAGGGTCATGATCATTCACATCCTCAACATGCACTGTGAGTTTCATAGTGGTTGCCAGCATGGGTAAGCCTTCATCAGTAGCTATTATAGTAACAGTCAGAGTATCTACTTCTTCTCTGTCTAATAACTCCTCCAGGTATATCTTTCCACTTCTGTTATCAATGCTGAATATCCCACCGGAGGTGTTTAAATAATACAAAACCCTCCCGTTGGATCCAGCGTCTTCATCCTCAGCATGAGCAGTTATTACAACAGAATGCAGTGCAGTGTCTTCTGGTATACTAACACTTTCGGCTGACACAAACATTGGAGCATTGTCGTTGACATCTTCAGTAATCACAATAACACGCGCTGTACTTGTGAATTGTAAAGATGCAGGCTGGGCACAGTCATTGGCTGCCACAGTCAGATTGTAGTAGGACTGTCTCTCCCTGTCCAGAGGTTTGTTAAGGCATAAGGTACCAGTTGAATCTGTGACAAACACTTCCTCGTCGTCACCACTGATCACTCTCAGTGTCATTTTTCCATTATCACCTTGCAGACAAGAAAATATAGCATGTAAATTATTAAAAAGGATAAAATGGGTTTAGACTTGTTGTCAAGTAAGATATCAGTTATAGACATCGATTATAGACCTTTCTTGGAAGCATAACTAAAAATGATAAATGCATTATATTATACTTTCTGAAAACACATTTGTATCATAATCCTTATATTTTCATTGCAGTTGTCTTAAACCTGTATAAATCGAAGGGCAAAATGAGGCGCTTGAATGTGAACTGTGAAAAATGTGTGGTTTTACATCAATGACTTACAGGGCTAAAGTTCAATCTAGCTGCTGATTCCTTTCTGTCATTTTATTTATATGAAATATGTTTTCTTAACAAATACACTATTCCACAGAATACTTGACAACAGCCTCTCATTAACTTTATCTGAACAGTGAAATACAGGGATGGTTATGGGTATGATCCCCACTGACTAGATGAATGTATAAATCATTTGCTTGAGGAGCAGCTCCAATAAAATAATAATAATAATAATGCAATGCGGATAGAATGTATCCTGTATTACTACAAATGCAGGATTCATTTACATATTTTATGTAATATAATGTACAGTCATTGGCCATTTTGTTAGGTACAGCTGTTCAACTGCTCTTTAACACAAAGGAATCAGCCAATCACATTGCAGCAACACATTTAGGCATGTAGACATTGTCGTGACAAACTGCTGAAATTGAAACTGAGTGTCAGAAGGCAAAAGAAAGGTGATTTAAATGGTTTTGAATGTTGTGTGACTGTTAGTGCTGGATGGATCTGGAGACCATCTCTAAGGTTTGCAGAGAATGGTCTGAAAAAGAGAAAATGTCCAGTGTGGCAGTTCTGTTAGAGAAAATGCCTTGTTGATGCCAGAGGTCAGAAGAGAATGGCTGGACTGCTTCAAGCAGAGACAGCAGGACAACTGTAACTTAAATAATCACTTGCTACTACCAAAATATTTAGAAGAACATTTCTTCTGCTCTTCTACATACTTCAAAACTTTGAAGCAGATGGGTTACAAAAGCAGGTGACCACACTGAGCGTCATTCCTGTCAGTTAAGAACAGGAAACTGAGGCTAAAATTCACATTGGCTCACCAAAATTGGACAACAGAAGATTAGGAAAATGTTGCTTTAACCCTTTCGTGCATGAATTATGACAACCTCAATCAGGATTGTTTTCTTAAGTTTTCTTATTCATCTGTAGGCATGAAAAAATATTTTTGAATTTCATTTTTTCTTAACATCTTGTCTTTTAAATGCCCACTTAGGTGGACAACATCACCTTTGGAGTGGGTGGCAGGGTATGGAGTGACACATCAGTTTCCAATGTAATGGTTTATGTGCAAGTACACACTGACACAAATACAAGAAAACGGCCTTTGAATAGCTGTCCAATGTAGTGATCACTATGTGTAAAAGGGTTAAGGTGAAAGTAAAATCCATTGAACGTATGATGGTAGTAACATTTTATATTCACTTTGCACACTTACCCTCATCTTTATCTGACACATTCAGAGACAGGAAACAAGTTCCAATGTTTGTGTTCTCCAATAACACTGCAGAAAAGGTATCTTGACTGAAAACAGGGAGGTTGTCATTCACATCTAGCAAATTGAAATACACCCTGATACCAGATACCTGCAGATCCCCCTGCTGCGCCTCCACTGTGAGAATGTAGAACCTTTGTGCTTCAAAATCCAGGCTGCGGGTTAATAGGAACTCCCCCGAGAAAGGGCTGAGAAGGAATAGGTTCTCACCGTCATCCTCCTGAACTGAGTATGTGATAGCTGTGAGACTCTCAAACTGTGTTTCCACTTTTCCCACAATTGTTCCTGTGAACACAGTGGAAATAAATAAATAATAAATAATAATAATAATAGTGGATTGAGCAGCAAAGTTATGTCAAAATGGAATAATTTGAAGTATATTTGAAATGGGGACCCAAAGTTACACATTAATATTTCAAAAAATAATCTCTCAGCTAACATGCATATGCGCTTACATGGGGAAAGATGACTAACCTGGTAGTGTGTCTTCTTTCACTTGAAACGAGTAAACAGTTTTGAAGAAAGCCATCTGTGTTTGCCATCTGTTATGAGGGTGTAGGCTTACTTCACCATGCTCCAGCACAGCATCAACAGACGAAGGATACCAGGAGGGGAGCGTATGCTGCCCTAGTATGATATCTGCAAGCTCCCTCACACTACTTACATTCACCCTATTTCCAGATGAAAGTTTATGAGATGATGTAGTAATAAACACCTGAAGAAGGCAAGGAGTCACAGTTTCGAAGCAAGCATAAATTGTCAACTTCTGAAGTAATGAAATTATTGGAGATATGTAAAATGTGCTGGAAGCCTTAAACACAAATAGACATCTAAACAAAATTTGAAGCCAGTTATCAAAACACATCAACCAACAGGCCAACTTACCACAAAGTGAATAATAATAATTATATATTTCCTCCTACATCCGGTAGAATCCATTATAAAGTTTACTTCTTCAGCACCTCTTTGTTGACCATAGTTACAAAATCAAGTAATAATAGCACACAAAACAGACGTGGCACTAAAAGGTAAAATCCCATAACTGTGCAGCCCCCACACAAGCCCAACAAATGGTAAAGTATTAAAGCTGTATCCATGGTGATTACTCAATCTGTTCAGTTTGTAATCCTGACTGACACGCCTCTTTGACATCACTCTATGCAAATCCTGCAGCTGGGGAGGAAAAAAAAGTTTCGTGGGACTTGAGAGTGAAGCAGATTACATTTTCTTTTCTATTTATTTGCTTGTGAAAAAAGCAAACGGTTGAAGAAAAATTACCAGGTAAAAAGCATTAATAGTATATCCAGCTATGGTTTACTGAATCAGTATGTTTTATATTCTCGACATGGATTTTGCTATTGAGGTTATTCAGCGTAGGCATGAAATGGACTCTCTGAACAGTTGCCTGCAGTTAGGTAGCCTAGAGGCAGACTTTGTTGTTGCATATCAGATTGGGGGGGGGGTTCATTCAGAGACAGAATGGCATTCATTCAATTGGTAAAAAGGGAGTGAAAAGAAGGGGAAAAAACTATTCAGAATCACAGGTCTCAAAACTGACTTGACATGATACTGTAGAGCAATGTCAAACAGACAGAAACCATTTGCCAACTACAAGGCAATATCTTTTAGAGCAAATGTAATTCATTTTTAATCATTTCAACTGATATTGAATTATTAGCTTTTTATTTAATATTCAAAATTCAGTTGCTGCTGGACTCACTAAACTCTTCTTTCTAAAGAAACAGGGCTTTTACCATCTTTATGCTTGCTTCCAATAAAAAACAACTGTTGTGACCCTAATGTTAACTACATGCAGGAACACTGAGCTTGTTTGTGTGTCAGACCTACTGAAAGGAGAACACAGAGGTTTCATTCATATTCGCTAACACTTCTAAGAACGGTTACTGCAAGGGAAAACACTACTGAGAAAAGCCTGATGAATGGACATGTGAACCCCCTCTAAGTGATGGTGAGGCCACCGTGCCTGTGAGCTTGCCTCCAGTTACAGGGAATTGCAACTCAATACGACCAAGGGATCACAAAAGGTCCCTGCCTTGGGAAAGAGAGCACTCGGAGAAGGAGTACTTTTCTTATGTTCATTTGGTACTTGGCTGGGAATAAAAGACATCCATAATAATATTGTGTAGTGGAGCATCTTCTTGTGCTTTTTGCATTGATTATCCAAGCCTCTGGAACTCCCCAGGAGGAAAGCAAAAACTATTCCTACAAAAGAAATTCCCTAATCTGGTGTTTTGATCATTTTTTGGGTGACTGCTAACAGCTGTCCCTTTAAACCAGGCAGTGATCCTCCGTGTCCTACAGATGGAGTCATTATCATCCTGAAAAAAAAAAATCACTCTGTAGAACCTATATGGACTTGTCACTTGTGTGCGCATGACAAAACAAGTGTAGTTTAAAGTTTTTTAATGCCACACACACACATACACATACAGGTTTTTTATATCATGGCGCCACCTTCTGGATTGAGGTTGCTCAAACTACTGTAGCATGATCGATGTTTCTTACTTTCCAGAGAGTTTATAAAACATTTCTGAGGATGTGAATGCCTTAGCACTTTGGAAATAACAGCCATTAGGCAATATCTTTTTCTTAAATTGTTAAAATCAATAAAAGTTTGTTTATTTTCCAATAGAACAATGTGATATCCTTAATTGTGTTCGTATTACTTGCTATTGTCAAATATCTGACCTTCTGGTTTAATAATACTATGAGTCCAGTACTGGTAAGTAAGAATTATTACTTGTCAATTATCCTTAGTCATTTGTGCCATTAGCAATCTGTTTACATAAAAAGCCTCAAACTCTGAATTACTCATAGATTAACTAGTATTGTGAACTTGATTGAAAAAGGTACATTTATTATTCAAGACTTAAAAAATGGACTACTGACTTGACAGTTTTGCAGATAATGATGGTTATCCTCCACAAGAGGTTAAGTCTCATTTGTGAAAAAGGCAAGTTGTTTGCAGACTGCTGTATTTAAACATCTGTCTAAAAGGGAAGTGTGATATAAAGAGAAGATTGTCAAGGTAAGTCAAATCAGGAACTTGGGAGAGCTTTGCAAACAGAGAACTGAGGCCGGTGACAGAGGATTAAGATCCACCACACATGGACATCTAGTGGCTCAGTACTAGGAAAGGAGCTACAACTGCCGCATTCCTAATACTGAACCACTAGATTTTAGAGTACTTCTTGCTTTCCACTGCTGACAGGCTTTATAGAGATTCTTATTTCCTTTTACAGCAAGACCTAGAAGCTTCCCACAGCGCCAAAACTATCAAATAGCTTGCTGACCGCATTATTGGGCTGCTAACAAACCTGAACCCAAGAGGAAGATGAGAAACACCCAACACAGAATTACAGATGGACTGAAGGGCCCTATTTGCATGTAATGAATATAGAATACATGGAAGTTTGGTAGTTTTTAGATATTGTGAGATGATTAAAATTAGGAGGAAAAAAAAAAAACAAACTTGTAAAAAAAAAAAAAAAACGACCTTTATTGAAGACATTCTTGAATGTCGACAGCTGCATTTGATATTAGAGTGGTATTCAAAGAACAATAAAAAGACATTGGGACAGCACATAAAAAAATATTTTTCAAAATAAACAAAAATACACTAGCAACTCAGAAATCTCATTTTTGAGTTGGAACACCTAAGGACTAGTTACTTTCATACTTATTTGTAGTCCTCCTAGACTGTTACATAATATGGCAGGGATAAAGTACTACCACTAGAAAATTCCAAACGTAAGATATGTAGTGTTGACTTTACAAAAAAAACAAAAGAAAAAGAAAAGGAGAATAACACTGTACATCTTAAAAACATTAAATATACACATGATCTTGGTCAATCTGACTTCGGTTTTTCAAGATGGTGAATTGAGATATAAGGATATATGGCATAAACAAAACTGCAGGTCCCATCCCCAAGTGAGCTACTCATCATCATCATCCTCATCTTCCTCTTCTTCTTCTCCTTCCTCCTCTTCTTCTTCATTGTCATCATCATCATCATCAGCTGCAGCAGCTGGTCCTGAATCCACTTTTCCCTTTGTGCGGTAAGCAACAATATCCTGTAACAGAGAGATAGGCTCTTTTCCATGCTCCACAGACAATAAAATTTTTCTATCAAATCAACAAGTTTAACTTCCATGTCATTTTGGATTATCACCTTGTCATATTTCTCCTTCAACTTGGCAGCCTTCTTCTCATATGGCTGCTTTTCTTCCGCAGATGAGCTGTTCCACATCTCTCCCAACTTCTTTGCTGTGTCCCCAATGGAAAGGCCTGGATTTTCACTTTTTATTTTTGGGCGAAAATCTGCACAGAAGAGGAAAAATGCAGACCTGTGGGGGGAAAAGAAGGAAATGGGAAAAAACCAAAAACGTTGCCGTTTAATTGCTCAAAATACCCCTATGGTCTGAAAGAAAATGAGAAAGTGTAGATTATGGCACATACGGTGGTCTCTTGGGGGCATTGGGGTCCTTGAATCGCTTCTTCTTCTGGCCCTTGGGAGGCACGTAATTCTTCATTTCCCGCTCATAACGCAACTTGTCTTGCTTGGCCATGTCTTCAAACTTGCCTTTCTCTTTTGGAGACATTGTCTTTGGAGAAACACAGCCAGTTTTAAACAATCTAAAAAATAAAATACTGAATTTAGAAAACTGAAAATAAAATCTAATATTATGAATAATTCCTTTTACCTTCCATCGCTCAGAGCATTTCTTGGAGAACTCTGAGAAGTTGACACTGGCATCAGGGTGTTTCTTCTTATGCTCCTCCCGGCACGTCTGCACAAAGTAGGCATATGAGGACATTTTGCCCCTCGGCTTCTTTGGATCCTTCCCCATTTTGGCTTACTAAATTTTAAGGAGAGAAAATACAGCTTTAAATTCAAAGTATACCAGCACTTTCATGCAATGTAAGTAATAGAATCTGAATGGCCCTCGCCAA